ACTGATCCGGTCACTTTGCTGTTTGCCTAAGACATTGAAATGGGGTTGGAGATGAGGTCCTTCAGACTGATCTGGTCGCTTTGCTGTTTGCCTAAAACATTGAAATGGGGCTGGAGATGAGGTCATTCAGACTAATCCGGTCGCTTTGCTGTTTGCTTAAGACATTGAAACGGGGCTGCAGATGGGGTCCTTCAGACTGATACGGTCGCTTTGCTGTTTGCCTAAGACATTGAAATGGGGTTGGATATGAGTTCCTTCAGACTGATCCGGTCGCTTTGCTGTTTGCCTAAGACATTCAAATAGAGTTGGAGATGAGGTCGTCCTGACTCATCCGTTCGCTTTGTTGTTTGCCTAAAACATTGAAATGGGGCTGGAGATGAGGTCCTTTAGACTGATCCGGTCGCTTTGTTGTTTGCCTAAGACATTGAAATGGGGCTTGAGATGAGGTCCTTCAGACTGATCCGGTCGCTTTGCTGTTTGCCTAAGACATTGAAATGAGGCTGAAGATGAGGTCCTTCAGACTGATCCGGTTGCTTTGCTGTTTGCCGAAGACATTGAAATGGGGCTGGGGATGAGGTCCTGATTGATCCGGTCGTTTTGCTAAGCCAGTCAGTTCTGCTTGTTGACAAAGGTTTGACTCTTCTCCTTGTGAGAATAGTCCAGGCTAAGTGTGTTAGTGATTGCATGGGGTTGATTGAAAACAACTTGAAAAGTTAATCAACTAAGTAAGATAAAGGACTAAAGTTTTCTTTGTGATCAGAACAAACGAAAAATGAAAACTTTGGATGAACGAACCTTTGTTTTGAATTGACTGAATGCGATGTGGACATGACATACTTGTTGGAAATGCGTTGTCTTTTTGCTCAAGCTCTGTTTGTCTTCTTCATTATATAGGGTAGTCTGTTAGTGTTCGCCTTATGCTTGAGCAACAGACAGGTACATGTCTGCTCTTTGTTTTCGCATTGTCTCTTCTTGTATGATTGTATTTTGTAGGACTTTGACAAGCCTCTGAGTTAGTAGAAGTTTTGGGAGCTTCTTTTCCTTAGGGGAGATGCTGCCCAAATTCCTGCTAAATACTTAAAGTTAGTCAGAGTTTCAGAGATGCCAGCTAGGATAGGATTAGTTTAGTCTTTGGGGTCAGTAGGAATTCTGGAAGCCTTCCTTTCTAAAGGAAGTGATGCTGATTCTTTTTGCCGAAATTTTTACTAAAACCAAAGAGTTAGTTTATTGTCAAATATTTTCAGAGTGACAAGTTTGTCTTTTGAGATACAGTATAGTAAATATTCTTCACGCATACTTCCCTAAAGAAAGTGCTGCCAGAATTTTCGAAATTTTCACATCGTTACCAGACGCT